AAGCTTCTTGAGTGCTGTTGGATCTGCACTCAAACATTCAAGTGGGGAGTACTCCATCACACTCCTGATTGGTGCCTTGTAGATTGCGGACAGACTTTGGGGAATTGGGAGGTGATTTACTCACTACTGGATTCCTAGTCTCACCACAGTATCCGAACGTTCAGCCCATTTTAAGTTCTGGTCAATCAATGGTAGCCCCAAAATGTCGATAGTGGAGGATTCAGTGATGGCAATGTCGTTGAATATCAAGGAGCCATGATTAAATAATCTCTGCTGGGAGATGAACATTGCCTGGCACTTGTATGCCATGCTTCAGTAATTGAACAGTCATATACCAGCAAAGTGCGTCCCTCAATTACCACTGACTCCAATTTGCAAATGCCTTGATGTCAAGGCCAGTTACACTCACTTCTGTGTGGATTTTGGTTCTTTTGTTCCTTTTGAATCAAGAGGTTAAAGAGCTCAGTGGCCCTGGTGGAACCCAGACTAAATGTTTGTGAGCAGGTTAAATGCTAAGCAAGTGCTGCTTGATAGCATCTGCCACCCTCATTTATGATTGAGAGCGTACTGAAGGAGTGATAAATGGCCAAGTTGGCTTCTCCTGCATTTTTGCATGTACAGGACATATCTGGGCATTTTTTCACATTGCTGGGTAGATGCCAGTGTTGTAGCTCTTTTAGAACAGCTCAGCTAGGAATGTGGCAAATTCAGGAGCTGGTCTTCAGTACTACCATTGGAAGGTTGTCAAGGCCCATGGGCTTTGCAGTTACCAATGCCTTTAGCTGTTTCCTGATACCATGTGGAGTGAATCAAATTGGCTGATGACTGCTGTGTAATGCTGTGACTCCCAAAGTGGGATGGGATGGATCAGCCACTCTGTACTTTTGATTGAAGACTGATACAAATACTACAGCCTCATCTTTTTTAGGATGCGCTAGGCTCCTTAAGGATAAGAATATTTGTGGAGCTTCGTCCCTCAGTTAGATGTTTTAACCGTCCAATGCAGCTGCAAATTACATCATGGCAGTTTCTACATTTGCAAAGAGAATAAAAGGAGACAATCTCTATACCTCAAATATCTCTTCCCTGGAAACCTCAATGCGACAGTGGCCAGCCTGGGGCTGTTGTTGAGAGAGTTCTTGCCTGAGGATTTTAAGCTTCTGGACCAGGTCTCGTTTATATCTTGGCACAGTCAGGCATTCAGCTTCATCAGGCAGGAGGATTGGAGGCGCTGGTAGCGGCTGTTGCTGCTGTTGTTCCTTCAGGTGATTCTGACGACTGGATGGAGAAACAAAAGCAGAAGGAAGGAGGAGAACGGTTTAAAGCTGATCTAAATAACTTACTTCAGTGCAAATTACAACTGCTGTAAGCAAGTTTTGTTGCATGCCAGAAAGAGTTGCACTCCAATGAGGTTACTACCAAAATAAACTTCAGACAGATCCTTGCTCATTATCTCTACAGGATGGTAGAAACTATTAATTGCATTAGCAACTTTTTCCAGCAGAAATCTTTTTACATTAACATAATTAGTGCAGCATTGAAAAAACAAATTATATCTTCAAGCTGGCCAAAAGACATACTGACATTTTAAATTCATTGCACATTTAAAATGGAATGATTTTATTGTGGCTCTCTCACTACACAATATTAGAATATATCACTGAAGCAAGAAGCTTTCTTGCTATTAAAACAAAGGATACTTTTCCAAATGCAAAAGGATTTGGATAAAATTTAGACAAACTGAGTGAGGTACAATATTGCGCAGACTTCCTAACAATTACTTCAATTTTCTAGTATGTCAATGACATTGGACAAGGTGACTCAGAAACAATGCTAACATAGCAACATTGAGTGAACTTTTTAAATTGAAACAAAAAAATACTCAAAACACTCTAGTCAGACAGATTCAGTAAAGAATTTAAAATAGACCGATCTTTTAAGCAAAGCCATGATGATTCAGAAAGGAAGAAAAGCAGATGAAGCCACTTACAACATCAACAAGCCTGGGAGCCAGGAAGGGAAATGCTTGGTCAAGCAGTTTAGGAGGAGTAGTGTCAAGGGTACAGACAATGGGTCACAGAGATGATGAACTCAGGCACTGCATAAGGAGGTTGAGAAAAGAGAAAAATGTAGATTCATAGCTAGGGGTTACCTTTGCTCTGGGATAATGTTAGAATGGGAGATTCTGGCAGAGCTACAAGCATTATAACATAGACTCAGTCATACAGCACGGAAACAGATTCTTCAGTCTAATCAGTCCATGCTGACCATAATCCCAAACTAAACTAGTTTCACCTGCCTGTGCTTGGCCCTAATCCCTCCAAACATTTCTTGTTCATTTCGTTATCCAAATATCTTTTAGACGTTGTAACTGTACCCGCATCCACCATTTCCTCTGGAAGTTCATTCCACACCTGAACCATTGTGTAAAAAAAAAAAATTGCCTTCTGTCTTTTTTAAAATCCTTCTCCTATCACCTTAAAATATGTCCCCTAGTTTTAAAAGTCCCCACCTTAGAGAAAAGACACCTTCCATTCACCTTATCTGCACCCTTCATGATTTTACAATCCTCGATCAGGTTACCCTTCAATCTCCCAGGCTCCAGTGAAAAAAGTCACACCATATCCAGCTTCTCCTTATAACTCAAACCCTCCATTCCCAACAACATCCTGGTAAATCTCTTCTGAACCCTCTCCAGCCGAATAATATCCTTCCTATAACAGTGGCCAGCCTGGGGGTGTTGTTGAGAGAGTTCTTGCCTGAGGATTTTACAGGGGAACCAGAACTGGACACAGTACTCCACAAGATGCCTTACCAAAGTCGTGTACCACCTCAACATGACATCCAGAATCCTACTCAAAGGTCTAATCAATGAAGGCAAGTGTGTTAAACGCCTTCTTAACCACTCTATCTTTATGTGATGCAAACTTCAAAGAATTATATACCTAAACGCCTGACCTCTCTGTTCTATAGCACTACCCAAGGCGCTACTTTTAACTGTATAAGTCCTGGTTGTGTTTGTTTTACCAAAATGCAATATCTCACATTTATCCAAATTAAACTCCATCTGCCACTCTTTAGCCCATTGAATAAAATATATTGATGTACAACCACAATTTAAATATGTAAAATGGAAAATTATGCCATCTATAAAATTTCCCCCTTTTAATACCCTTCTGATGTAGCTATTCAGCACATATGAATGTAGATAGTAATGCCAAGTGGCTATTGACAAAAATGGGTATCACAGTTGAGGCCAGTCTCTTGGCTCACAAATTAACCACAAACACAGATGTTTCATCAGGAAACGTGGGGACGGTGATGCATGGAGATGGACCTGTATTTTATAGTCTCTTACCAAGGAGTTGAGGTCAAGGGGATATTGTTAAATCCAGTGGGCAACCTCCTCGTAAACTTAGAAACATAGAAGTCAAGAGGGTAGGCCATTCGGCCCTTTGAGCCTGCCCAACATTCAACATGGTCTTGGCTGATCATCCAAGTCACTGTTCCTGCTCTCTTCCCATACCCTTTGATCCCTTTAACCATCAGAATTATATCCAGCTCCTCCTTGAAAACATACACTATTTTGGTCTCAAACACTTTCTGTGGCCGAAAGTTTGATCAGTTCACCATTCACTGGTGAAGAAATTTCTCATCTGTCCTGAATGGCCTACCCCATATCCTTAGACTGTGACCTTTGCTTCTGGACTCCACAGTCACCAGGAACATTCTTCCCGTGCTTACTCCGTCTCATCTGGTTAGAATTTTATAGGTTTCTGTGAAATTTCACACCCATTCTTTTAAACTCCAGTAAATATAATTCTAATTATCCAGTATCCCTCCATACGTCAGTCCTGACATCCCAGGAATCAGTCTGGTAAACCTAGAGTGGAGCTGGAGGAACACAGCAGGCCAGGCAGCATCAGAGGAGCAGGAAAGTTGACATTTCGGGTCGGGACTCTTCTGCAGAAATTCTTTTTTTTTCTTTTTCCTGACCAGAAATGTCAACTTTCCTGCTCCTCTGATGCTGCCTGGCTTCTGTGTTCCTCCAGCTCCACACTGTGTTATCTCTGACTCCAGCATCGGCAGTTCTTACTATCTCCGAGTCTGGCAGACCTTCCTTGTACTCCCTCCATAGGCAGAATATCCTTCCTCGGAAAAATATCAAATCTGCACACCATACCCCAGGTGCAATCTCACCAATGCCCAATGCCCTGTACAATTGCAGCAATACATCCCTGCTCCTGTACACAAAACATCTCACTATGAAGACCAAGGTTTTATTTGCCTTTTTCACTGCCTGCTGCACCTCCATGCCTACATTCAGCAACTGGTCTACAAGGTTTCATTGCACCTTACCCTATCCCAATCTGTCATAATTCAGACAATAAGCTGTCTTTCTGTTTTTGCTACTGAAGTGGATAACCTCACATTTATCCACATCATTCTGCATCAACCATGCACCCTGTCAAGTTGTCCAGATCATACTGAAGCATCTCTGCATCCTCCTCAGAACTCATCCTCCCACACAGCTTTGTGTCATCTGCAAGCTTAGAGATACTGCATTCAGTTCCCTCATCTAAAAAATATATTTTATTGTGAACAGCTGGAGTCCGAGCGCTCCGCTCTGTTGCATATGTTCAGATGAGGCCAACTTCGACGAGGGAGCCTCCGAAATGTCCACCTTCTTCCTCAACCGAGGATTCCCCAGCTCCGTTGTCAACAGGGCCCTCAACCAGGTCCGACCCATCTCCTCCTTCCGCATCCCTTCTCTTCCCTCCCGCAACAGCGATAGGGTTCCCCTTATCCTCACTTACCTTCCCACCAGCATCCACATCCAGAAGATCATCAGACGCCATTTCCGCCACCTCTAGCAAGATGCCACCACCAGACACATATTCCCCTCCCCTCCCTTGTCCGCCTTCCGCAGGGACCGTTCCCTCCGGGACACCCCGGTCCACACTTCCTTCACCCCAACACCTCCCCACAGCCCTATGGCACCTTCCCCTGTAACTGGCGAAGGTGCAACACCTGCCCATTTACCTCTTCCCTCCCCAGTATCCAAGGGCCCAAACATACCTTCCAGGTGAAGCAACACTTCACCTGCACTTCCCAGACTCTAGTCTACTGCATTCGCTGCTCACAATGTGGTCTCTTCTACATTGAGGAAACGAAGTGTAGACTTGGCGACTGCTTTGCAGAACATCTACGTTCTGCTCGCAAAAAAGACCCTGAACTACCTGTTGCCTGTCACTTCAATGCACCACCCTGCTCCCTGGTCAACATCTCTGCCTCTGGCTTGCTGCAGTGTTCCAGTGAAGCCCAACGCAAGCTGGAGGAACAACACCTCATTTTCCGCTTGGGTCTCTACAGCCCTCCGGACTCAATATTGAGTTCAATAATTTTAGGGCCTAAACTCTCCCGTATCCCAGCCCCCCACCCCACACACCAGGCTTTGTTACCACATAGCCTGCCATTACACACCCCCTGTTGTTAGTCACTAACAGTCCCCATTAACAACTATTCACCCTCCCAGCCTGATCGTTAGCAACTCCTTTGTCTGTCCAACTACCTTGCTCTGTCTTTGGGCTGTATCCTATCGTTTACTCCCTAACCTGCCCACCTCCCTATTTTCTGCATATAAGCTGACATTTTCCCAGCCACCATCAGTTCTGAGGAACGGTCACCGGACCCGAAACGTTAACTCTGTTTTCTCCTTCACAGATGCTGCCAGACCTGCTGAGCTTTTCCAGCAACTTTGTTTTTGTTCCAAGCATTGATGCCTGTGGTACCCCACTCGTCACTGGCAGCCATTTGGAAAATAACCTGCTTATTCCTACTCTCTCCTGTCTGCTAATTAGTTCTTTACCCATTTTTAAAAATTCATTTTTGTGGGATGTGGGCATCGCTGGCAGGCCAGCATTTATTGCCTGTCCCTAGTTGCCTTTGAGAAGGTGGTAGTGAGCTGCCTTCTTGAACTGCTGCAGTCAATGGGCTGTAGGTTTACCCACAATGTCCTTAGGTAGGGAATATTCCAGGATTTGGACCCAGCAACAGTGATATATTTCCAAGTCAGAATGGTGAGTGGCTTGGAGGGGAACATGCAGGTGGTGGTGTTCCCATGTATCTGCTGCCCTTGTCCTTCTAGACAGAAGTGGTCATGGGTTTGGAAGGTGCTGTCTGAGGATCTTTACTGAATTTCTGCAGTGCATCTTGTAGATAGTGCACACTGCTGCTACTGAGCATTGGCGGTGGAGGGAGTGGATGTTTGTGGATGT